CGCCGCCACCCCCGCCTCCAGAGGAGATCGAGATGCGGGTCTTCATGCATTGCGAGGGCTGCGCCCGCAAGGTTAAACGCAGCCTCAAAGGCTTCGAAGGTAAAATTATCCAAAACCCCCTCAACTAGTAACTATAATATATTCTCATCCGTTTGGGGACCAGTCGTAAAATTTCAAAATGGGTATTTGAATGAAGAGGTGGAGGGTGTGAGGGCGGATTGTAGGACCCACAAAGTGGTGGTGAAGGGTAAAGCGGCTGCGGCGGAACCGTTGAGGGTCGTCGACAGAGTTCAGAAGAAAACCGGACGAAAAGTCGAGCTATTGACGCCATTATTTCCGCCTCCTAAAGATGAAGAAAACAAAGAAGAAAAGAAGAGGAAAGAAGAGGAGGTGAAGCCCAACGTCGAAGAGGAGAACAATGAGGAGGTAAATTTATAAATTTTCCATTAGGGTTGGATTTACAAGTGTAGATAGATATAGGGACTGATGGTAAATTTTGTCTGTGCAGCCTGAGGTGATTGCAGTTCTTTTGAGGGTGCATATGCACTGTGAGGCCTGCACTCAACAGATGAAGAAGATGATTTTGAAAATGAAAGGTTTATTATTATTATTATTATTATTATTATTATTATTATTGCACTTTTTCCCCTTGATTTTTGAGGCATTTCAGAATTGCTTTTATGGGACAATTTTTCGCATGCTTCTGAGCTATTTTGTTTTGCAATGTGCGTCCTTCGGTTTTGTCATTATAATTTAAAACTTATAAAAAATGATAGTGGACCTTTTTGAACATTTTAGTATTATATCGAAGATTGTTCTTTTTTTATTTCCTGAACATTACTGTTCCAGGATTCCATATGCTCCCTCTTTAAAGCCACACAGATTGTTATATCTTTTTTCTGAACATTTTTGTTCCGGGTTTACTAAAATTATCGCAATCCTAATCCTTCCTCTTTAAATCAAAAAATCAGAATGCAACATTATTCACATCTAAATTCACAAAACTCGGATCCTAGGAAATTGCTCAATCTAATAATTTGAGCGTTAATTTACAAAGTTTTCAGAATATTAAACTACATATATAACTTTCAATCTTCGCCATAACTTTGAAGTGTTGATGCGATGGCAGTATCCTATGATATTAGAGCAATCTAGGTTCAAATTTTACTCGCCATTAATCTAATGAGGATCAAAAAAATTGTTATTGATACGTGATTACAAACTACAGCTATAACTTTTAACATTTACTCGAATTTTAATTTTTAGACAGAATCATAAGCAGCGTTAGGCTTTTTCGTTTTTTGTCTTATTTCTTATCGTTCCCTCCCCCCCCCCCCCCCCCCCCTTACCTCTCCTATCAGTGTATATATTTTACATCTATTTTTCTAAACATGATTCGTCGGTTCAGCGTGTTCAATCTGCTGAGGCCTGATCTCAAAGCCTCACAGGTCACCGGTCAAGGGAGCGATCGAGCCGGCGAATCTCGGTCGACTAGCGTTCTACAAACGCACCGCGAAAGCACTCCGTCATCGTTGAAAAACCCAACCGGAAAAGTATCTCTGCGCCGAAGGAGAAGGCGAAGGGGGAGGGAAGAGAAGTGGTAAGGACGAGGAAAAAGCAGAAGGCCGAGAAACACGAGAAAGAAACGGCCGCCGAATTGAGAAGGGAAAGAACGAGGCGCGACCCACGGCGCGCCGGAGGTGGTGGTAGGGTTCGAGAGGGAGAACGAGTTTTATTTTATTATTATTATCGGCGATGAGAATCTGATGCTTGTTCTGTGATGTGAAATAAAAGATTGGGTGGGGGGGGAGGGGGGGGGGGGGGGGGCGGGGTTCGTGATAATTATGTGTATTGTATTAGTAGTTAGAAGGTGAAAGAGGGGGGGGGGGGGGGGGGGGGGGGTTTCGTGATAATTATATGTGTATTGTATTGTAGTCTAGAGTGTGAAAGGGGGAGGGGGCGGGGGTGGTTCGCTCGATAATTAATGTGTATTGTATTAGTGAGTAGAGTGAAAGGGGGGGGGGTGGGGGGAGGGATTACCTCTAATGCCCCTCCCTTCTTTTGGCGTATTCCTTAGGTGTGTATGTATAATGTTGAGTCTTTCTCTAGGTTTTTAGGGAGTTGGACACAGAAGGATGTGGAACTTTCGATTAAGACTCTAGTTTCTTTTTTGTTTATTTTACTTATGTTGTATCAATGAATAATATTATTACCATTTTGCTCCACTCTTTTCTAGTTTTGGCAAATAATCAAAATTCCTTTGGAGAAGGTAAACCCCACTTTAATTTATTTTCTATTTGAACACAAGGTATTCCCTTTCCAAATTCAGTAACTTTTATCTCAAAAACGTTTTAATAATTTGCTATTTTACAGGTAGATGATCCATCGAGGAAAGTTATGAAATTACCCTAGAGGGGGTGAATAGGATATTTGCTAATCTAATCCGATTTAATGCCAAATTGAAACTTATAAACAATATCCTAGCAAGTATGATATACACAAGTGATATATGCAAGGATAAATAAATAGTCAATAGGCGATATAAACATGCAAGCACAAGATAAAAGAAAATTATGTGCCAATGACAAACTCAAATGCATACAAATTATCACGGATTTCGGTCACCCTCGACCTACGTCTCCGCTCCTCACTCTTGAGGAGAATCTCCACTATCTCAATCGGTTTTCAACGTTCACCGAAAATGTTTACAACTCTCACAATTACAATCACACAACACACCCTCTAAGTGTTGGCCTAACCCGTGTCGCCTTCCTCAAGTGCTCAGATTTATAACCTCTCCCTAGGCTTTACAACCGACGACACTCCTCTTGGAATCGACCTCATCTCTCACCACACACTCCTCTCGGTGTCCTTTGTATTACAATGTGATCTCTCGACAATTAGGCACAAATAAAAGGGTTTGTTCTCTAACAAGAATGAGAACGAAATTAAGCTCACACTTAATGAAACACTCACCACAACCCAAATTCTACTTAATATGAAATACTAAAAGCTCAATAGGTTGTGTGTGCAATCAATGAGTAAAATGAAAACTAAAATTGAATCAATCTAGCACAAATATATATGAATCAAAATATGAATAAGCTAGAATATAAGTTTAGAAAAACTTCTCTATAAACAAAGGGGATTTGAGATATGAAGATGAATGCCCAAGACCAAAATTGATCTTCATCTCTTTGTGAAAACTTCTTCACACAAAAACCAAACTTTTGATTTTTTTAAACTTGTAAATAAATTGCCCAAAACACTTGTAAAAACCCTTCAAAAACTCTACCAAAGAACCAAGGCAAGAGAGGTATATATAGCCCCCAAAACTCATCTCACAAAAACTAGCCGTTGGCTGGAAATACACTATCATTCAACTGATAAAAAGGATAAGTCGACTGATAAACTATCTGTTGGAACAGTGTTGGCAGATTCTGGAATTTTGCGTAGCTGGCTTTCTAAAATCAATTAAAAATAGTAAATTAACTCCAAAAATCATGAAATTTTGAGGAATGTTTCTACACACGTAGATAAACATGGTGGATTAAGAATTTCTGAAATATCACTTCTCATTTGTGAGAAATTACTGTTTTAAAATAGATATTCCAGTTTCTAAAAACTACTAAAACACTTGAGTTTGTAAAATCTATTTAACATGGTAAATCAACTCCAAAAATGGTAAACTTTTGGAAAATGTTTATAAACATATAATAGAATATATTAGAAATATAATTTCTCAATTTGTATTTCCCATTTGTAAAAACTCATTTATTTTGCAAACTGTTAAACAATACAAAATCGTCAAAACTTTATTTTGATGAAATCAATACAAACAAGTTTTGAAACACTTTTTAATAGATTAATAAACTTGAGAAAAAATATAAAATAGTGTAAACACATCTTTAATCCATAAACACATTATTTTCCAAATAAAGATGATAAATATGAAACTAGCATGTATGTTTGTAACATAAACACATTATTTTCCAAATAAAGATGATAAATATGAAACTAGCATGTATGTTTGTAAATGTAACTATTTGTTTCATATTTATTTAAAGATGATAAATATGAAACTAGCATGTATGTTTGTAAATGTAACTATTTGTTTCATATTTATTTGATTCACTTGAAAGTGATAAACCGAAAACGTGTATGTGTGTAATATTTGAGCTTTAAGCATAAACACATAAAGTATATGATATAAACTAGAAATAATGTACTCAAGCTAAGAGATCTTCGATATGCTCATCTTGGTTGCAGATAAAGCTTGAACTTATACTTGACTTGAAATGCAAAGCTTCATTCCGATATTCCTTCCATCCTCCAATGGATATGATCGTATATGCATAAGTCCATCCAACCTCCAACATCGATGTTTGTCTAGAGTACCTAATGGGCAAATACAAATGCTAGAAAAATGATGTTAGGAATTATTTATTAATCATCAAAACTAGATTAGATAGTAGGCTCATAAACATGAGACTTAACAATCTCCACCATTTTGATGAATACAAACAATCTACACAAAGAGATATAAAATATGCATGATACTAAATGAATATAAAATTTATATTCCTCATGCATAAAAATAATAGAAAGCAATAAGCAAGATATACTCACAATATATATATATTTCTCCCCCTTTGTCAACATCAAAATGGGGAAACCAATAAAAATAGAGAGCAAAAGCTCCCCTATCAATAAGGCATAGTAAGTATCAACAAGAAAAGAAATAGAAAAGACTCCCCCTATAAAAAAGCCTAAAAACATATGTCAAAAAAAAAACAAGGTGGCTATATGTGAGCAAAACATATAAAAAAATATCAATCACAACTCACATTTAAAGAGACTTAAGAGGCCATATATAATATCATGAAAGATGTTTATAAAGGTCTCAAACATAGAAATATCAATAATATATATATATATATATATATATATATATATATATATATATATATATATAAACAAAACCAAAAATCAAATGTTTAATCTATATATCCAAAAATTCATAAATCATCAAATCATGATTGATTGAGAACACATATAATACATTATTATGAAAATGGTGTCTCAATACACAAACATAAAAAGAATATATAGATTTATATATGAAATCAAATGAAGGGAAACTTTGAAAATCATGAAAACTAAAAATTATAAATTATGAAGGGATATTTTCAAACAAATCATGAAAACCATGAAAAATCGAAAAATCACATAAACATTCAAACATGAATCATGATTAAGAATTTTTAAAAGCAAAATAGTATCAAAAACATACTTGATTCACAAAACAAATTTGCAAACTTTGTTTTAAACTTTTCTTGGTTTTTATTAGCAAATGAAACCTGAGGGCAATTTATAGATTCATAAAACAACAGCCCAAAAACAAAAAAAAAATAAAAACCAGATAAAACCCTAAAAATCAACAAAACTAGAAATATAGTTGTCAGTCGACTTATGAGATGATCGTTGGTGGGCTCCTGAAAACTATCGATCGATTGATGCAACCATCGGTCGACTGATAGTGCATCAGTTGACTGAGTAGAAACATCTGATGATCCAGCCACTTTTTTGTTCGCGGCGGAAAAATCGCTTAGCTTTCTCATTGTGATATCATTGCTATCTCAGTTTAACAACTTCATGCGTTACAAGATCGCGTCTTTGCTTATAAGATCCGGTTACAATGAAAAATCAAAGTAAAACAAAGCTAAAGATTTACAATTTTCCTATTTGTCGGAACTAACGCGAGCGGTTCCTGTTTTGCGGTTCGCTTCGGGGCGGTCTTCTCCCCCCACGTTTCGGTGGCTCGTGTTGTTTGCCTGTCCGTATTGTGTGGACCACCGTTCGTGATCTCTATCGATCTTACACGATATGACGGCGTAATATTCCACCTATATTGCAATAATAGCCAGGGATTGTTTTCCACCAAGGAAACAACCGCCTCGAATCTACAGGGATCTAAGAACCAAGCTTAGATCCGCGAGTGTGATCGTGTAGACTCAGATCTGATCCCTAACTCCTGCCTTATGTGGCGTGGTTCGCCGAGCACCGCGATCTGAAAGTCCAAGTCTCCAAGCCTTCAAAGTTGTGACTCTTTTTTAGATCTGAGTCTCAACCACAGGGCTTCGCCCTCTCTCCAAATTCTACACACCTCTCAAACAAATGAGCACAGGCCTATTTTATAGCACTCGAAAACTGCTGCCTTCGGGCCGAAAACAGGGCCTACCACCCATTACGGGTGGCTCGGCCATGGCCGAGCCACCCATGGTGGCTCGGCCAGAGCCGAGCCACCTCAGCGGCTGGCTCGGCCTTTGCGCAGCCACCCTGGGGTTGGCTCGGCTTGGCCGAGCCACCTCACGGTGGCTCGCGCTTTGCGCCGAGCCACCCTGAGGTGGCCTCGCCTTGGCCGAGGCCACCCTGAGGTGGCTCGGCCCTTTGGCCGAGCACCCTGGGTGGCTCTGGCCACCGAGCCACCTCTAGTTGGTCTCTCTTGGGCCGAAGCCCACCTTG